AAAAGAAGTTTAATGTTAGGGAAATAAATAATCGAAAATCGAAAGATGGCAGTGAAGGTACTTGGAAGGTGAGTAGGGTCGTGCTGATAAATATCGAGGATTGGGATAACATGGTTCATTTCGTCGCCTATTTTGCCTTCGAGCTTGTTGTGGAGATAGAAGGAAATAAGCTCTTCTTCAGTAGGGTAAAAGCGAAACCCTGGTGGCATTTCATCCATATTTTCAATTTCTTTCTTTTTTCTTTTTTTTTTTCTTTTCCGGTTTTGGATTCTAAGTTTGGTTACTAAAGGGTTTCTTGATATATTGGTAGGAAAAGGGTGTGTTTTCCGAGTGAAATTGGAAAATCCGATGATAAAGATTCTTGAAAAGATCTGGACGCGCTAAATATATGGAAAATATGGATTTGTTGTCCAATGCAATTCCTTTTTCGTATTGGAATGAGTCAAATTTCGATCCATTTTGGCCACTTTTTAATGTTTGCAATTGAGTGAACAGTCATTTTGTCACTTTGGCAAAACCTTATAAAATTGGGTTATATGTATGTGCGTGGTGTGCCCACTGCCCACGGTCGTAATCGTCAACCCGTATTGCAAATATAATTATATTGTTTTTCCTTTAATTAAGGACATTAATTGATAAGGTATATTTTTTAACCATAAACTAATAGTTAATCATATGTACATGCATATATACAAATAAAATTTTATAAGTTATATGTGTATGCGTTGTGTGTGCCTTCGGTGATAATTACTGATGGCAATGGGCAGGTCGGGCCAAATAATTGACTACCCGGACCTGCCCCGTACTCTACAACCCATGCCCCGATCCGCCTCGTGGCCCACTACAGGTCTACAGGGGCCAACCCAAGACCTGCCCTGTACAGGTCAGGCCAGACCCTTGCCCTGTATTTTTCTTCCAAATCAATAATTCCAAAATAATGGAATTTCAAATTTCGAAACAAAAAACTTTGACCAGAAAAAATAATTAAAACTCATTTTTACATTCTTTGGTAATAGAAAAAATAAATTAAAAAGAAACATATAGATTTAGAATTCTAATTAACCAAATATTAAATAAAAATGGGTTAATTGCCTATAAAACTTCAACATTTTGTTTAATTGCAAATAAAACTCAACTTTACAACAAAATACCAAACTTTTATTAAATATATTGCAATTTTGTCTCAAAATCAGTTTCCGGCCGAGCCACGCTGACATGTCCGAAGGGAATTTTGACGTGGCACTCAACATTTTAAAATCCATACCACATCAGTTAACACGTAATAATCCATGTCACACTTCTGAATCCACGTCATATTTCTTTTTTCTCCATTAAATCCTGTTTTCCCCCATTTTGCAGCAGATTTATCATACAAAAAGAACTTCATTGACGGTGCCCCTTCTGCTCGATCAATTTCCCAGATTTTCACCTCCAAAAATTGCAGCGAATCTACCGCGGCTTGATTCTTCACCCAAAAAATCGAGTGGTGCTATGCTTGAGGAATTCATTTAGACTCCAGATCAAGATCCCTAAAACCTTCGAGCAACAGAACCCTAACAGGTATGTATATTTCTTCTCGAATTTGGAATTCTTCCAATTCTTGAGGAATTCATGTGGATGTTGATGACATGAAAACAAGTGTGAAGAAGTTGTTGGGTCAGAATTTGGATGCGTGCAGGTGTAGTTTATTGAATTTATTGTGAATTTATTGAATGTTTGATGCTTGTAGCAGCACCCTTCTTATTTTACTTGATTTTTATGTGTGTTCTTGAGTGTTGTGCTGCTTATTCTTCCTTTGCAATCCTGCTACGACCCATGGTCCTGGTTTGGTAAATTGAAGAGTGTCATGTTATGTTATATGTCCAGCTAAATATGCCGTTTGGTATTGTGAGTAAGTCGTTGAAATTCCAGCTTTTGGAATGTCTGTTCAATTGTGATTTACTGGATGTTTCAAAATTGTGATTTATTGTCATCTCTTTTGAAAGTTAAGATATGTTTTATAGTCAAGTCATGGGGGAAAAACATGATTTAAAGGAAGAAAAAGAAATATGACGTGGATTCAAAAGTGTGACGTGAATTATTACTTGTCAGCTGATGTGGTGTGAACTTTAGAATGTTGAGTGTCACATCAAAATACCGGTGCCACGTCAAAATTCCGATCGGACATGTCAGCGTGGTTTGGCTGGAAACTAATTTTGAGAAAAAATTGCAATACTTAATAAAGGTTTGATATTTTGTTGCAAAGTTGAAAAAGTTGAGTTTTATTTGCAATTAAACAAAAGGTTGGGGTTTTATAGGAAATTAACCCAATAAAAATCAAAAGCAAAATCCAATAAGTGGACGGCCGGTTGCAAGATGTTAGAATGGCGGTCTGAGGAGCGGCCGACTGTTGGATGCCACGATGGGGACTTGAGGAGCAGGTGGCTGCAAGATACTTAGATACTTAGCCAGCAGATGGTCTCGAAAAGCAGGGTTGTTAGCAGCGACCCAAGGAGTTGCTTGTGGCGGGGTTTTGGTCGTGAGAAGATCTAAATTTATGGAAAAGGATTTTTTTTGTGGGAATTGCTCGTGAAGAAGAATGGAAGAGAGAAGGGCGGTGTCTGTAAGAGATAAATGAGTTCTGGCGACAAACAGATATTGGGATGAGGTAAGGTGGTCTTTTGGACTTTGTTTTCTATATTAATAGGTTTAATGGGGTGGAGAAGATAATAAGGTGGATTTTGGACTTTTTTACGTGAATGAGTTAATGGGTTGAAGATCTTAGCTCGTAGGCTTTAATAACATGTATAGACTTGAACGAGTTAGGCCAGGCCGGGACAGGTCGGGCCAAGGCAATTTTCAGTACCTGGACTTGTCCCATTTCTAAAACGGACCAGACTCAACCCCATCTGTTTTAATAACAGGTTGTGTCCGACCTGGCCCAAATGCTTCAGGTCAAGGTGGGTCTGAGTCATATTTCCATCCCTAGTCATAATCGTCAATCCCTATTTCATGAATTTTTTTTAATTTTTTTCCTTTAGTTAAGGACATTAATTGATATGACATAATTTTTAACGATAAACTTGTACTCGATCCTGTTTTTGACACCTGAGCTGATGTGGGCCCCAAAAGAAATATTGCTCGCTTGGAGGGGGAGATCGTTGGTGTATATAATGAAAGCTTAGGCTTTAGATGTACAATAATCCCGTTTGAATGAGAATCGTGTTTAATTAAACAATTTACGTTCTGATGTTTTATATTTAGATATTGTGGTTCACCGCGGATGAGGCAAAAGATCATATATCAGTTTCTTGTAAAACATGAATGTTTTGTTCACAACCTAGATGAATATGAACAACCCGTCGTGAATGGTTGTAGTGTTAACCGTTCAGTTTGTCTTGACTTGTTAGTTAAACTAGTGCACTGTATGCATTAAACAGATCCCAGAGAGGGAAAATTCATTTTTGACAGATCGTCGCGAACGAACTAGACCTTGATTAATTACTGCGTACTCTTAACCCATAAGATATAAACATCACGTGCATACAGTAGTGCTACTTTGATTCCCCAAAAGCGAGATCCATTTTGTTGGTTCAATAGTCTTCGTTTTTTGGACAGTAGTGTTCTGTGTATTGTGTGTTGTTCGAATATTTACGGTCACCGTGTGCGATAGTTTGATGATGTCCCAGAGATGAGCTCATGAAAGATTATTATGTTAAATCTGACCGGTAAAATTTATTCCGATATAATAATAAAGATTTGAGTGGTACTAGTCTCGGTTATAGATGTCGATTATTTAATTGTCAATAAATGAATTAATTGATGGACATTATTTTAAACACGAGGAGGTAAATCGAGTAATTATTATTTGAGCCTCGAATATAACTCGGGATGATGAGGGAGTGCAATAATGTTTTGTTAGTGGACCGAAACATTATTTAAGTTAGTGATCGGAGTGGGCTTGGCCCACAGTTAGGCCCATGACTTAAGAAGCCCACATCATCACCTCCTTAGGATCCCTGTTGTAGCCTATAGATACATCACATCTCTTGAGGTTTAGGGATTATTAATGGTTGGACGAGTTTGAAAGAGAGAGAAAGAGACACAGTTTAGCTGCCACCCCATTCTTCTCTTATCATCTCTTCTTCTTCTCCAAGTAATCCCAGTAGAGATATTTCTGAGATCGTCGCCCACCAAGATGAATGGAGAAGATCGGGTCATACAACAGAAGATCCGAGATAATTCATGGCAAAGAGATATATATATATATATATATATATATATATTTAACCCCGTAAAATATATATATACAACCCCATGAAGATCCAAGAAGCCGTCGGTGATTATCCGACAACCACTGGAGAAGTTCCCCGGAGGACCGGCGACCTTGGAGAGAGCAGTCACGCCTAGCCGCGCTCAGCTGATGCGCAGTAGTGTTCAGCCCCGTCCCAGGCACACAGCACCACAGCAGCCCCTGAGAGACTCATCGACACTGTTCAAGCCCGCACAGAGGCTCGTCCAGGTGCTTCCCAGCATGCAGACACACGGGCGATCCACAAACATGTCGCGTGACCCGTGCGAACCCTGGTCTAAACAGCGCGTCAGCAGCCCATGTGCAGTCCGCGTCAGGCCCGCGCTTCTCCCAACTTCTCAAGCGGCCCAACGCACTGTCCGTAATCGTCCAGTGCCCAGCAGACGGTTAAACAGCGGCCCATATGCTTCCAATGGGTCCAGTGAAGCCCAGTGTGACCTAGACGTAACCAGCGCGCCTCAGCTCAAGTCCAGCTCACCAACCATGGTCCAGTCAGGTTCAACAGCGGTCTAGGAGTCCTGACGAGCCAACAACGAGTCTCAAGCAGTTCGACCAAGCCACCAGAGGTCCGGGACGGTCCGACGGGACGGATAAGCAACCAGAGATGACTCCGTTAAGGCCTAGTCCGGCAGCCCAATGGACATGAGACTTAGACGATCTCCATCAACCGAAATGAGAAACGTCTTAGAGTCGACAGAAAATATAAATGGTATGCGTTGAACCCTTGCTTCTAGTTCCGCTGCTTTTAGGGTTTAATTCGTAGTAGTCCGTAACTTGCATGATTTTGACGATCCTCGTCGAGTCCCATTAGAGAGAAATCAGATCGGCATACTTGACTAGGGAGCCAAGGATTCGAAACCGAGCAGTAGATGACTGAAATGGAGAGAACCGAGCACGTTCACGATATTTCGACCTCAACGCACTAATTCACAAAAAACACTAAAATAATCACCAGTTGCCGGCGAATGATTAAGGATGTGACAGTCTGCCATATTTTTGTTAGCCTACATCTCGTAGCCGCCTACTGCACATGAACAACAGTCAAATGAAAATCACTATAAATACTCTTCATATCTCATTC